CCATTGGAAGACGCTTCCTGTGTTTCCTTGTGGCAAAAGTGTGCTTAAATGGGATTCTCTAGCTCGCAAAGAGATAATTTATGTTTTTTTTTGTGTAAACTTTGCTGTTTGTTTGCCATTCCTAATGCTGTGTGCAGCGGAGATAAAACTGCCGATACAGACACAGAACGAGCGGGAAAAAGAGAGACAAAGCCACCTGCGCTTTCTTTTTTCATTTTTCACAGCAGTAAGTTTCCACATTAAGGACACAGCAGAGCATGGCCCAGAAATGAAAATAAATCCTAAGCTTCCACCATCTGGGTGTTCCCCCATCATAAAGTTAGGCCACAAAAGAGACGGAATATTAGATGGAAGACATTCCACGTTCACATTTTTAAAATCAACATTAATGAGGCTGCAAAATGTCTGTTGAATATTTTGGCAAGTATAACTAAATGAAACTCAAATTGGGATTACCATCGACGAGTATTTAAATGCAAAGCGGCATTCCGTGCGTGCACTGCCAGGAGTCTCTGGCTAAATCTCTGAAGTAATGCGTAGAAGCCAAAAAAAGTGAATCACATTTGTTCTGCTCGTTTGGCGAATGTGAAACCAAAGTTAAATAAATAAGCGGCACCTGCCTGCGGTGCCCGAGCTCCACTCCAAAGTGGCCTCAAGCCCTGCCCAGCCTCAAATGCTGGCAACTGCTTAGCGAGCACTGCGTATAGCGGGGCATGGAGGGGAGGCATGTGGCATGTGGCATGTGGCATGTGGATTCTGGGGTGGCACCTGTAACACGGCAGCTGGGGCTACGCACTTGAATAATAAGCAGCTATTATCAGCAACATAGACAGCAGCCGGAAGACAGTTCTCTCCCCCCCTCTCACTCTCCGTTGCCACGAATGGAGAAAAGTTGCTCTTTATGCTATTCACGGGGGGTATATTGGACTGTTGCAATGGCGGTAGCCAAGAAAAGCAACAAATAAGTGCCACAGCAACAATATGTGTGCTTTCAGTGTTGGTAAGTGATGAATTACAGTGTTAAGCAGTGTGGAAAATGTCATTCCAGGATGCAGCTCAGTAATCTGATGTGCTAACTTTTGCGGTAAGATATTCCCATCATCTCTGCTCTCAGTTTGACAGAAAATGCAGCAGCTAGCCAGTGTTGAAGGCTCTTAGCAAATGCCAAAAGCTACTCGAATAATCGAATGTGGAGAGCATAAATACTCGTAAATACATTTCGATACATGCCCCCTTGTTGGCGGCCCACTTTAGGTGCTTGCCGTTGAAGAGGCTTTAATGTGTTATTTATTTTTATCTGCTATTACGATTACTCAGGCTGCCTCTTGACAGTTTAGCGGTAATTTGATTTCTCATCTCTATGAATTGTTCCTCCCCACCCGTGGAGTCTCTATTGGGTTTTTCCTGCGCTCGTTATTTGTGTGTGTGTGTGTGTTTTTTTTTTGTTTTCACCATCGCGATGGGGAATTTGGGCAAAAGTTTTCGCAGATTGTCGAGTGCCACTAATTGTATATAAGTGGGGGGCGTGGTTTACTCACACACACACATGTGGCATGTGGCATGCGGCGTCTCTCCAGAGGGACTTTAATGCCACATGGCGCCATTTGAATGAGGTTTTAAATGTTTGCCGACTTTGTGGCCATAAAAATGGCTATCCATATGTGTGTGTGTGTGCTCTCTGCTGTGTGAATGGCTGGATGTGCTGAGGGGATTTGTATTAGTGATGGGTTTTAGCGGCGTTTGTCTGCTGCTGGAAATGCTTTCGACATTTTAATTGAGTCTCCACAGTTTGATTTTTTACTCAAACCCCACTCCCTGCACACTGCACACTGCACACTTGCCATGCTGCCATTTGGGGCATGCATCCACACATACATATTTACATATTTAAGTACATAATCGTACATTTGTATATGCATACATATCTAGAAGGTGATCCATCACTGTCTTTTCATTGATTTGCTTCTGCATCTGCTGCTGTCCGTCACGCAAACATTGATAGATTGTTCCTGGCCAACCAAAAAAGGACGAATTTCAATCGAATGTCCAACCTTTTTGCTTTGGGAAATGGCAAACAGATTTAGTTGTTCTTGGAAGCGTAACCCTTAAGCGTAACCAAATCCGAACGAAAGCCCAAAATTGTTCAGCAAACATCAAAGAATAAATCTCCAAGGGATGCGGCAAAACCCTTTTAAACAATGCCTAAAGTAATCTTTTATCGGAGGCAGACCCTGGAATACCTTTAAATATAATTACATTGAAAATGGGCAACGAACTTTTCGTGTGCAAATGAATTTCTATGCTTTAACGTGTAACTCTTGGGGGTTTTAGTGCACTCTTCAATTAAGGCATTTAGCTGCAGTGAAATTCAAATGGAAAACGCCATTGAAAGTTTTTCCCAACGAGACACACACATGCAGATGCTGTGTGCCCCCGCACACATAAAATTCAATTAGAGTTTCCCGTAGTTTCATCAGCTGCTTTGGAGCTGTGCCCTCTGCTTCATCCGCAGCATCCTGCTGGCTATTTGCTTCCATTTGGCTTGAACGGGAGGGCAGGGTGCGAGGGCGCCAGCTGGGCCGTGAAATTGTGCCAAGGCAGCCCCTTCCTGCCAACCGTAAGATCCGCAAGATGTCCCCTCCTCAGGCTTACCTGCAACGAAAAGCAGAAGAGGAGAAAGAACAAAAGGAAACATAAGAATCGCGACAACACACACACATGAAGAGTCCCGTTCAAAGAAGCCAGAATTAATCAAGGAAACACAGGGGGGGACACAAAGATGCGTTGTCTTTTCAGATAATGCCCGTGGAGAAGAGAGACCGAGGCTGCCATTAGCTTGAGAGTGTGGTAACTATTTTGAAGGCCTTTTCCATGCCATAAAATATTCCAAAATAAGAGCTGAGCAAACAACATTGAAACCCCCCCATTGGTGGGTGCACGATTGTGCCTAAATATCAAGTGTTTGTTGGTCCGAATCGTCCTATAGCATATAGCATGCCATCTGACAGCAGCCAAGGAACGGGCATGTGAAGTGAATCCCAAAAGGCACTTGGGCCACATGATGAGCAGCCTGACAGGCAGCTCGACGGAGCACCATCGAGTGAGTGAGTCAGAGAGAGAGCGAGGGCGAGAGCGAGAGAGAGTGAGAAATGTAGGCCTGAGTGGCGTGAATGGGACATGGCCTTGCATTGGTCATGGCTCCCGCTACAGCTCGCACTCCCGCTTGCAGCTGGTCTCCCACTGACAGCAGACTGCAGACTGCATACTCACAGTCAGAGACTCAGTGCCAGACTCTGGGCATGTCTTTGTTGACAGTTCCACTAATTGCAAAATGCTGTTGTTTGTTCGCCTGCTCAGCGTGCTCTGTCCTGCCATTGTCTGTGGCACACTTTTAGGCAATTTGCATATTTCGTTAAGCAGCTGCTTTGCTTTCCAAGCTGCAACTGCAGCTGCAGAATGAGCTGCTGCGTCCTGCCGCCTCGACTCTTTCCAAGATCTCGTCACGCGTGTCTGCCCGTTTCTTGGCTCCGTTGGTCTTTGTCCTGAGTAAATATTTATGCTCCCGCATATTTTCGTACTCGTACGAGAATTCCTTGGAATCTAATTGGGTATGAAGGCGCTCATTTTACCTAATAGACACAATGATTTATTTGATTAAACTCAAAGAGAATGCTGTTCTTCTTTTGTGTGTGTTTGTGTAAGCTTCACTTTATTGAGGCAATTTCCAAGGGGAGCTTGCAAGTTCCAGCAGCGCTGTGGACCCCTCGCAATAACTTTCGCCGATGCTGTTATCCCAGCGTAAGCCCTGCCGAAGAAGCAGTTCACTGCGGTGATTTTGTATGTACATGTGTACATACATATACACTAGCGGTACAGTCGTAACGAAATGCGGGGGTGGAAACAAGCTTACAAACTAAGGCCGCTCGCGAGACGTATTGATCGTGAGAGCGAGAGCGAACCCACTCTCAGAGCGCTGTCGGAGAGCGATAACGGAACAGCTGAGGAACGGAACGAACAGTGAGCTGTTAACCTGGGCTGTTAACCTGGGCTGTTAACCTAGGCTGTTAACAGGGTCTTTTAACAGTGCTGCCGTCCCGCCAGCGCTGCTCATCTGCCCATCTGTACCCATGCTCTTCCATATTATTTTCCCACTTTGCCCATCTAAAACACATGAACAAGATTCTCCATCGAGTTCTGGTTGCTGCCTTTAATTACTTCGGCTTAAGCTGGTATGAAAGAAAACTCCAAGGTCTTCAACTATCTTTGCACTTTTATTTAATTTTTACTGCGAATGCAGTTTTTCCATGTTGCCCTGTGACTCTGGGGCACAGGCACACACAGCCACACACTTTGCACCCTCTTTGACCTCTCTTTTGCTTCTACTACGTCCGTTTTCTGCTCCTCTGTATCTACATCTCACTATCCTCTCTCTCGCTCTCTCTCTCTCTCTGTCGTTTGCATCTAAATTATGGCAATTGAGTGTGAGCCACATAAATCATTTTCAGCTCTGCTACCCTGCAGTGGCAGTGGCTGCGGCAGGGTATATACATATTTGCATGTGTATGGGCTGCTTCTTTTGCTCGTGCTTTGAATATCCTCTGGACTGCACATCATACGATTACAGGGTAGTGCCACGATGGATTGCGGCATTACAAAGCTGAGAGCTTATCATCCACATGAATTCATTCGCACTTTTTCAGCACAACTTTTGTGGGACTATTTTAGTGTCGTATTTGAAATACACACAAGTAAATAATTTATAACTATTCGGAGGACTAATGTAAATATGTATGTACATATGTACAGATGTTTCCAAATATATGTATGCGTTATACTGCAGCGCACCTCGGTCGGCTGGTTGTCCACTTTGTTTCCACAACAGACTTACACAAGCTATCACCATTTAACAACAACAAGCGAGTGTGTAAAACAACGAAAAAGCATAAAAATCAAATTCCAAAGTAGCCTTGGATTTCGCCATCAGTTTCCATTAGTTTCAGTTTCAGTTTCAGTTTATTTTATTCTCCTGTTTCACTCGCATCGTACAATTTTTTCCAGGGAATAAAATTCAGTCAACTCTTTAAATTTTTCCGAAAATTCGAACAATTTGTTTTCTAGTGGAACAACGTAAAGTTTACCTAGGAACAATTCTTGATCGAAAATGGTGCTTCCCAAGGGAAAGAAAAACGTGCAGAAAGCGCGCGAAATGCAAGGACGTCCTGCTCGCGAATCAATGCGCCGCGGGGTGTCGAGACCCAGAGCAGCTCGCAACGAAGAACGCTCGCGCTCAGCCCCACGGCGTCGTGTGTCTAGGGCCCCGCACTCCCGTGCCCCAAAAGCAAATCCGAACGTCCAGCTGATCACCCAAGCAATTCGAGATCTGAACAAGTCTGCCACTTTGGAGGAGATAGTGGCACAACTGGTGCTGCGCCTTGGCGTGAGTACTTTGATAATCCATTGGGATTTCCCACAAATCGTTTGATTGATTCCACAGCGCAACACTTGTGGGGCAGAGATCTATGAGACAACAGCCCATACTCTTAAGAAGGGGGTTAAGTACGGCTTCATCCAGATGGATAATGGTGGCTACTGTCTCCCGCCTGCTCCGATCACGGAGGCCGAGAAGGAAGTGGACCTGCAGACGGCTTCCCTGACTGAAACAGTGGAGAAGTCGGTACCCCAAGCCTTCAATCCCTCGGCTATGTCTGTTCTGAGCGTTGATGCCCCACCGCCTGCTCCGATCACGGAGGCCGAGAAGGAAGTGGACCTGCAGACGGCTTCCCTGACTGAAACAGTGGAGAAGTCGGTACCCGTAACCTTCAATCCCTCGGCTATCTCTGTTGTGAGCGTTGATGCCCCTCAGACCACCCCACGCACCCCTTCCACATCCGAAAATTGTATACTCAGTGATTAAGAAACAGATTCAGATGTAACTTTCGGCCTAGTTGAAATTGTTGTAACAGTATAGCCCGAATTTTGATGAGCACTTTAAGGAATAACCTAAGGAATAGCCCCGAGATGTAACTCAATCCATCCATAAATATCAATGTGAATAATAATTAATGAATAAGCAACCCAATAGGGATTTACGGCATTTGCAATCTGATTTATTTACGAGTTAAATGACTGACGCCTGATGCCCTGATGTCCGTTAGATGCCGTAATGGCAGACACGTTTGCCATTCCCCCCAATGGTTGTTATGGGGCAGAAACATGCCACACACACACACACACCAACTCGAAGCACAGCTCACAGCAGTAATGTGTGTGTTCATGTTTCAATTCATTTTTAATAAGTAACCATTTATGAGGCAAAAGCGTCTTGTGGCGGAAGGCCTGCCTGCCTGCCGCTCACTTAATTAGTTGCAGCAGCTCAAATGTGGCATGGAATATGGTGGTTGTGTACATGCAACAGCCAACAGGCAGCAGGCAAAGGGCCAAAGCGTTCATGTAGCTATTGTCATTATGTTCAGGATCATTATCGTTTTGTGTGGCAGCGATTTGTGTGTGTGTGTGTCCTTCCATTTAATTAAACTTTCAAGCCCTCGAGCGTGGATACCCCACAATATCAGAAATTGTTTTGGCTCGCTGCTTAGGCTCTTAATTGCTAACAAGCACACGCACACAAAGGCACACGGACATGCACACTTATTAATTTCATTGCCACCGCACGGAACACTTTGTTCGCCAAAAAGTATGCAATAAAAATTAATGAGCGGCAACATTTTGATTGACGCGCCTTTTGGCGGCAATGCATAAATGAATAATGCCGAAAAGGGATAGCTTGCAGGAAGGAGAAAAGCAGTCAGCCGCCAGCCACAAAATGGCGACGACAGAGACTCCCCATCCCTCTCTCTCTCCCTCTCTCTCTCTCTCTCTCTCTCGTTTTATCGCGTAGAAACTATACAAATACCGTTCCATTGTTAGCGTCACAGCGTGTTTGCTAGGAAACAAAAAATTGGTTCCCATTTTCCTTTCTTTGCTCTGATTTGTGACCACTAAAAGCTTCCCTGACATCAGCCGAAGGGCATCAGCGACACACACACACACACACACACAGGACATACCGATTGGGGCTGTGTGCGTCAGTGGCAGGGCAAAGGCCAGAGAGCGAATGCCGAGGAGACGCAGGAGCATCATCGAAGGGACATGGCGAACATCTTGCTGCTGCAAGAATTATTAATCATTCGAATTTAATTTTGTTGAACTTTGTTTTAATGAAACATTAAGGTTAGAAAACTTCTGCTAGCTTTAGACAGCAATTCGGACAATGAAAATGGAATCAGTGTGCCGTGGCGCCATCGGTCTGTGGATAATAAATGGAACTCTGTCCCTTGACTCTGTTTTCTCAGACTCACACTGATGGCCCGCCGACTGCTGCTTCTGCTGTTGCCCCACGGCGCTAATTGCAGTTGAGGCAGCATGGACTGCAGTTGCTCTCGTGGCAGATTTATGACCCTCAGCGAAATTCAATCAAAGCGGCTGGTGTCCGTCTGTGTTTGCTTCAGTCATTAGCCTCAGTCCTCAAAAATAGCCACCGGCTGGCCACAGCATGCCACAAGAGCCCAGCAAAGGACAAGAAGAGTGAGAGAGGATACTAAGGGGAAAAGAAAATAAAAGTTCTTCTTTATGACATCAGCAGTTTGGAGTTCACGCGAGACTCGAAAAGTTGACCGGAGGCCCCGAAGGTGCGTTGTCGTTGCGTGCCCCCGATATGCAAACTAAACGGGGGCACGTGACCCACACACACACACACACACACAATCACACAGGGTCCTTGAATGCTGCTCGAGCTCTGGACACGTGGTGGAATTTTAAATATATGCCCAAAGGTAAAAGCATTGCATGGCGGCAAGCATCCGCTCCTGCCGCACAAAGGCATCCATAAAATAAAAGTAATACTTTGAGGCTTAGGTTCTATGACTACTTTGTGGCACATCACAAGCGCTCATGCAAATATCATATGAAATCGTAAATAAGAGAGAACGCATACCCTCTGTGGAGGCAATTTTGCTACATCAATTGTGGGAGCTGCAGAATTGATGGGCCACACCTGACAGTCCTTGTGCGGGGAGAGTATATCCTTTGGCCAGTTCTATCTTCGGTTCCCAGGCAACTTATCGTGCCTTTAAGGCAACAAAGTTGTTGCAAAGAATTGATTTTGCTGGCTTAAAATAGACCGCCTCATATTATCGCTGATGGAAGCTTTTAAGTTGCGTTGTCTGGCGGCTCATTCGTCAGTCCGTCAGTCCGTCAGTCCGTTAGCGGAAGTCCGTGGCGTGCTGCATGCTGGCGTGCCGGCCATTTAGCTCTTGGCCACACCATGTGGCAAGAGTAGGACACGTACTCGAGCGGTTAACACAACAATTTGCTGAAGAACTTTCAGTAGGTGCACGGTAATGGGGCATGTTCTGCTGCTGATTCTCTCTCGCTCTCTGATTTCGGGGATTTTCTGTGTGTTTTATTTTTGTTGCTGTTGCTGTTGCTGTTGCTATCTGTTGGCAGCACCTGTCGCAAATTGGCTAAAACGGAAAAGCGACACAGCGATTGTTCGCAGGAGACTGCAATGTCACGTTTTTCGAAATATTTTGCTATTTTGTCCAGAGCGAACTTCTACTCCTGCGTTGTTGTGCCTCTCCGTTTGTTTTCATTCCCATTTTTCGTTTTCGTTTCCGTTTCCGTTTCTGTTTCAGTTGCTGTTTGCTTTTGCTGCATGCTCTTGAGCAGAGCTTGATTTGGCCCGAAAGCAAATTGGCTTTTTCCCTGGCACGTTTCTGAATTATAAACAAGACTGGCAGGGTGACTAGAGGGGGAGAGCAATGTTGCAAGCCTTCAATTATGCACACAGGCTGTCATGCATGAAAGAGACAGAGAGCCCGTGAAAGGGGACACTCCACAGCGGAGAGTCCATCCCTTGGAATTTGGAGTTGTAGCTGCACCTGGGGCTGCCAAATGGCATAGAAAATGAGGCACAGTGAAGTCAGAGCGAGGGATATACTCGCAGAGGGTTGTGTAGACACAGAGATGAAAGAGGCAACCGATGCTGAAAATGATTCATAAAATTACCAAAACATATTCAAATGATTCGAGAAGATTTTGCACATTCCATCCCAAGATCCTTTCCGTTCCATGCTCTATGGCCAGTCAGTTGGAGTTTCCTTGCCTCAAGTTACAACCAAAGTCCAGCCATACGCAAATAGATGCCAGCAAAACACTTCAATTTTGGCTGTTATTATAGCTGTTCAAAGTGTTTTCTTTTCTTTCTTCAAATTATTCGCAGAATAAGTACCGAAAATAAATAGATTTATGGCACACAAACTCGTAGAATCTCTATCTAATACTTTTACATACAATATTCGCCATTAAATCGCTATTATTCTCAGCTGATTGCCACTCGCAGCGGCATCCATGGCCACGCCCCACTCGTTGCCGTCTCAAATTTGCATGAAACGAGAAGGAGCGAAAGCGCTTTGCAGTCGCATGATCCAAGGCAGCATGAACCTGAGGGCAAAGAGCTCTGGATCTGAGATGGCAGAGTACTTTGATGTGCGGCCGAGAATCAGAACTCCATGGCATGAGCATTGAAATTCATGAAATCCCTTAGATATTTTCAAATGAATAGCCTTGAGAAAAATGCGAATTAAAATGCCATTAAATTAAATTCAATTTACGGTTTTGATCAGCTCATGGGTGGTGGGTGGTGGGGTTCAGGGCACGAATGAATGAATGAATAAATAAATAAATCTTACGCTTTATTCAAATGAGAATCGATTTATCAATGGTCAAGTTATTTCGCATTGTTGTAGCCTACGTTTCGCCACAAATGTCAGGAGGGAAAATTAATTATGCGGCGCGTACGATGCGGAAGGAACCGAGGACATGCCCAGGATCTGGGGCCAGGCAGCAGCTGGCAGCAGGAGAGCGGTGAAAAGGCAAACATTCAATGGACAACAGTCGACAGCTTAATCAATTCTTGCAGGGAGCATCCAGAGACACAGCGAAGAACCCAATCAAACTAAACGGAAGATTCCAACCGGAAGTTGCACAGACAAACACTGGACACGAGTATAACGAACTCTCTCTCTTTAGGACGATAATAAGGGTGACGATGGGGCAGGCAGGCAGGCAGATTTTTTGGCTGTGGCAAAAGGATATGCCTGCTCTCTCGTGTCCGAGTTTCCTGTCAAATCTGAATGGATGGCACAAGTGCCTGCCCCACACACTTTGTAAGAATTTTCGTTCTAGTATTTACATTGATCTATGTACATATACATACCTACATATGTACTTATGTACATACTTGATCCATGGATGCATTTGCCTACAGCCTACAGCTGCCCCTACTCCATATTCCAAGTTGAATCTACATAAATTTAATGATTTTTTGTTGCTGCTTTTGGATGCACATCTGTCCATCGTGATTGTTTTTTTTCGATGAAGCTTTATCGATTATTTCGCAGAGAATATTCAACGAGCTCTCTCGTAGCTCGACTGTTCAGATCTTTGGCAAATATGCAAAACATTTTGACCAAATTGGGGTACGCTCTTGAGGCAGAATTGATTGGGTAATTAAAACGACACAAACATCGGGTGTTTCGAGCAGTGTGAAGCCACAAGCTTCACAAAAGGAAGGGCAAGGATTAGGGCCGAAGAATGCGATGGAATGGCATGGCATGGAATGTGTGAATGGCCCATGGGCTTGTCGATTGATTGGCCGAGATGTGGACTGAAGTTCACGCTTGTGCGGACTCCTTGGGCGCATGTAAATGTGGCATCTGCCGCAGCTTCAGCTCAAAGTGAGAGACAGGCAGAGAGCAGTTATCGCTTTCGCTCTCGGGGCAAAATCAATCACTTCTACAGCTGCCAAATGCGAAATGCGAAATGCTTTGTCATTTATATCCAGCTAAATCGTTTACCAACTTAAGGCGAGAGTGCTCCGCCGTCGCATCCCCTTGTGGCAATCAAATGCCAACGGCACACGCTCCAGCGATTGTTGGCATTTGAAAAATTGTCGGACATGTACAATAATGTTTATCAAATGGCATCTCCAGGATGCGTGGCCCCTTTATCCCACCTGAGTCAAAAGTGAGGAAA